ATACGCCAGCCCTGTCACCGCTGCTGTCGCTACTCCAAGCATGTCAACAACCTCATCGCAGAACCTGAGTGGACCAAGCCACAACTATGACATGTACCGCCAGCAAACTGGGTTTGTCCCTGGTGCGCTTGCCGACACCATGGCTGTCAACCAGACCAACAACACTGGCTACCAGGATTTCGGAAGCCTCGACTACCTTTCGAATCTGAGCCAAGAGGAAGACATCTTTGACTTCAATGCCACTCCTTCACAAGCCACCATGGGTGCCTCTGAGATGGATATGGACTTCAACTCTCCCCTGGACTCCCAGGATCTCTTCTCCACCATCAACCCAAGCAATATCGAACAGGCGAATGCCCTGTCTTCTCCAATGGCCTCACAAGCTGGTAGTGTTGGGCGCCTCTGGCCTGGTGCGCACTCTCAGGCAGCCATGATGAAGGCTCAGGCCCAACAACAGAGACAACAAATGATGCAGCAGCAGCATCACCAACGACAGAGCCCTCCCCAGCAGAAGCCTCGTGGAAAGGCTCCCCAGCCTACAGACCCCATCGTCGAGCAGAAGATTACCCAGCTTCTGAACTCGATGAGGGCTAAGCCTGCTGAGCCTGATTCACAGAAGCAGCACACCATGGTCAATCTTCCCAAGTCCAAGAAGGACGAGGATGATATGGATGAAGATGAGAGACTCCTTGCCAGCGAGGAAGGCAAGAAGCTCAGTAGCAAGGAACGCCGCCAGCTTCGTAACAAGGTTTCCGCTCGTGCTTTCCGTTCCCGACGCAAGGGTAAGTTGCCAAATGCGCGCACCTCATATTCCATTATTTCTAACTAACATGATTATAGAATACATCACTCAGCTCGAAGCCGAGATTGCAACCAAGGTCAACGAGAATGGCGATCTCCGTGCTCAAAACCGCGCCTTGATGGAGGAGAACAAAAGACTGTCAGATCTGACCCGCATGCTCCTCACATCGCCCTCATTCTCCAACTTCCTTGACCACCTCAGCGCCAACCCAACAGCGATCCCCTCTGCTCCTATCAAGATGGAGCACCAGCAGCTTGAGCAGGCTAGCCAGCAGCAGCAGGAACATCTGCCCAAGGACGTGAACCCTCAAGGCTCGCAGCCGTCCCAACAGCAAATCGGCATGGCAATGATTCCAGAGCACAACATGGACTTTTCTATGTTGAGCCTCGCCAACAACCCATACAACTTCCAGCCTCAAGTCTTTGTTGTCGACACCCCTGAAGTCCCTACTCTTGACACATCTGTTCTATCTGGTAAGGCCTCCAACTTTGTGGAGCCTCTTCTCGAGAGCGATGATGAGAAGGTTGAAATTCCTGCCATTGAGCGTCCTACTACCGACTCTGAGAAGACTGTCCCCACCGAGGTTGCCCCTGTGGATGAAGATTTCGAGAACGACCCCGAATTTGCTCTCTATCACTCTGAACCTGCCACTGTCTCGTCGAAGTCTTCTGAGGAGCTCGATACCAACAGCCTGACCCATATTGATATCTTCGGCGGCATTGATTCCGAGAAGGTTCTTTCCCGATACGAGCTCGTGGACGCGTCTGAGGAGCAAACGTCTGCTCTCCTTGCCATGGCCAGGGTACAACGTATCAGTGATCACATTGAGAGCGTTGTGTCGAGGTTAGAGCTCCTCACAATGGACCTATAAACATGGAATTATTTCAAGTCGGAGCTTTAAATCGTTGGGCGACATGGAGTTACGTGGCATTCACCTTCTCTTAACATCAGTGCATACTATCGTCAGCCACGCAGGCGGGGATCTAGGCGTTATTGGGAAGAAAGTTTTATTCCCCCAAGATGGGATGGATTGGGTACCGGTTTCATTTATTGGTTAAGATTAATAGGTAGCGATTGTACGGTACATGACTTTACGATGCAATTGTAGGGGTAGACAGCTGGAATTTAGATGCTCTTGAGCACCAATAACAATATATGAAATATCTACCATTGATGATACCAACTCGCTCATATTGTGATTGCAACGTGGAACTGACTCGGGTATCTGTACGACGAATCGTATAATGTGACCACGACTGTAGAATAGAAATTGGTTGACCATGGTTGTGAAGGTTTCATGGCTGCACTGGATATAAATAATTGTAGCGGTATCATTGTGGGTTGATCGTACTGGTTGGTCACCGAGCATAGCTACAATTGACTGCTATAGCTAAACCTTGGGTATGATCAACTTGCGGTTGTCGAGCCCAATTACGGAATTGTTGTTGACGAGGCTACCTCTGTGCAGACCATATGTAGGGTAACTCTGTGAGACTGGCTGAAGTTTTAACTCGACTTTGTGACGAAGCCAAATCATCAGTGATTCAAGGCCAAATCCAATATACGACCAACAAAGGCAAGCATGTGCATGTACATTGGCATGGCAATCCTGTGTGCATGATATCTGACGGATGCCTTGATAGGGACTGTGGAAGCAGACTCACCAACTAGTTAATTATCTCTAGTATGATTGCAACTTGACCATGGATTTCTGGGCATGGTGTTTGTCCTGGTACGACTTGGTGATGGGATCAGTCACACCAGCAACCACCGTAGATCGTCGCATCCCCGTCACTAGCTGGCTTTCACCGGCCAAGCCTACTGATGTGACGCTATTACCACGCAAGCCACGCCTGCGGTGAGTGCTAAACTGCGAGCCGCCTCCTCTGCGCCTGAATGGACTCTCCTGGATCTCAGCTCGCCACCTTGGTCCTTGGCAGTACTTGGTGGCTTGGACAGCGCGCATATCGAGCAAGCCACGCTGAAAGGTGCCGGATTAGAGGCAACAAGCTTTCGTATTCAGGATCCATTATTCCGTAATTGTGCCAGGTGGAAGCTAACGCCTTGTTTTGCCCAGCGCTGGTGTTGCATGGAAGAGGTGGTTGCCTGCCAACCGCCAGCGAATCGGGATCGATTTTGGATCATCTCTGCTGATGCCCATCTCGGCATAGGGAGATCGCACACGATAAAACCAGCCAGAGAAACCATGCACAAGTATGCACAATGTGTCATGTACGAGCCTCGACGGTGCGTGACCGGCCTGCTGGTGGTAGATTCTAACGGCGGATGAGCGAGCTGTGCCGACCGTTACGACTGCTGATCACAGCACCTCCCCCGTGGAAGGGACGAGACAGTCACTGGGATGAAGCAAGATGCTGGGAGGTTTGCCAGGCGTCGCTGATTTCCTCTCACTTCCCCTGTGCGTTAGTGTTGCTGCTTAGGCCGTCGTCGTGCAGCCGACTTTTGTCGGCCAGTGATGATCAATATGCAGCATTGGCCTGGTGCAAATTGCATCAAGTAGAGGAAAACCCACCCCAAAATTTGATTCGCCTTTGCCCTGTCTGTTGACTGGGTTAGTTCAGAGTAGACGGCTGAATCCCTGGACAAGCCCTCTCCCCCTAAGCTAGAAGTTGATATTGGTGACGATAGGACAAGGGGCGAGGAAGAAGCCAATACAAGTCATGACGGCTCTTGGCCGTCTCATTCGCTACCCGGCAATCGGGATCTTGCATGGGAGTCAATCTCGCCTTGGCCCAGCGGAGGAGAAATCTCCACTGATCGGCACTTGTTAGTTTAGGAGGCTGCACTGAGGATGCCCACTTGGGCCAGGACGACAACTCCAGCCCAGAGGGCGTTGGCATTGTAAGATGAACGCACTCATCCTGGCCAGGATCGTCAGGGCTAAGACATCATGGAGCGGCGACGGCGAAATATCAAGACTATCCGGCACACGCCTAACTCTGACATGACCACGTCTAATTGGGTCTGGCTGGTCCAGCCTTCTAAGCCAAGTCCTAGTCTAAGCAGGCCTTGGTTCGGCGTCCGTGGCGTATAGTATTGCCCGTAGTAAGGCCTTTGTGGCCTTGCTAATTCGGAATTAAAGGGATCGGCAGAACTACCAGGGAGACTGGGGGTGGAACAGCGGAACTATCCTCATGGCGCAACTGGGACCTGTTCCTGCCCCTGATGCTAGGCTCGGTACTTTGTTTTGTTTACTTACTTCGTGACGATGATTACTGATATGGAGTCCAAAATCCCAGATACGGCCCAATCACTTGGCTTTGCTTTGCTCTGTAGGTTTCATGCTAACATCATAAAGACATGGATTCCATGATCGAGAGAGCATTGACCAGTGTTGGAATTACGGCCTGAGCGAGTCCTACATATCGGTGGGGGTAATGCGTTGATTTTTGCTTTTTGCAGTATCTTGCTTGGAAATGCATACAGCACAACACTGCTGGATTGCATGGAGATGATGAAATGATGCTTTCTTAGGAGCACGTTTATGCCGGTAACATAACATTGTCTGATTTGCTGGAGCTCCCATGGGTTGGCTGAATTAGGGCAGTCATGCTTGGCTGCCTCCTCTGAACCCTAAAGGTGATCTTGGGTCTAAGCTATCTAAACATGCGGCAAACACAAGAGGAGGTGAACCAATCGTAGCTTCTTCATAGCCAAGAAAGATGAAAAGAGGAGACCGTGGGTAATGGTAGAAAGAAACTGCTTAACGTGGATGCTAACCATGACGAGCCTTCAACTCCACTTGAGCAGTTGTGGACAAAGCTGAATGAATATCACCATTTCGTCCACTGGAGCTCTCCCGGCAGGCTGGACTACGCCCAATCCCAGGATTATGATGATGATCGTCCCGGATCTCCGACCCTAAGTGTGCTCCTGACATGGATGAGGCAGACCAGCCAAGGATGGATGCCTTGGAGCCACTAACAAGCCCAGCTCCAGAGTGACCTGCTTCATTTTGTGTTGATGGTTGGGATAGGGGAGAAAGCAGGGAAATATCCTCGAAGACGTCAGGACTCGTGCTCAAATCTCTTGGAACAAAAGATATAAAGTCGTCTTCTTCCCCCCCTCTCTGGCATTCGATTCATCACTCCTCACCCTCTCTCATCAATCTCTAATACTCTCTAATACTTCTTCCACATCCTCTCTCTTCACTAATAATCACCAAAACACCTTCAAAATGAAGTTCTCCAGCATCTTCTCCATCGCCACTCTGGCTGTCTCTGCCCTGGCTGCCCCTTTCGTTGAGGCTGATACCAAGGCCGTCCGCGCCTCTGCTCCTGCCTCTGTTGACGACATTGTCACTCTTTTCTCGGGCTCTTCCGAGTCTATCACCAGCAAGACTACCCAGATTGGTAAGTAACTTTGGAATCATCCGTTTCGTACCATTCATCTACTAACCTGCGAACCATAGACACCATCCTCAAGCAGGTCCAGTCTGGCGAGACCCCCCAGTCTGAGGCCAACCCCCAGGTCCTCGACCTCGTCCAGGGTATCAACCTCGACCTCTCCGCCATTGTTAACTCCCTGACCACCTCTGCTGGTATTCCCGTCCAGGAGGGCGACGTCGACCGCCTCCTGATCGTCGTCAACGCTCTGCTCACCGTTGTCCTCGCCAACGTCCGCGCCATCGTCACCGTCCTCGGCCTCCAGCCCCAGCTTGTCTCCATCCTCCGCTCCGTTGTCATCCTCGTCTCCAACATCGTCACTCTCCTCACTGGCCTCGTTGCTGGTCTCCTTCCCGGCCTCATCGCCGCCCTGAGCCCTCTTCTCGCTGGTCTGGGCAACGGTGTCTTGGCCCCTATCCTGACTCCCCTTGCCGCTCTCCTCGCCGGCCTCGCTGGTCCCTAAATGTTGATCTTAGTGGTGTATACCTAGCGGTTCATTCCCTCTTCTAAAAGAACGGTCCTATAGGCAGTCAAGCAGACGGATCAGTCATTATCACATTCAGTAGCCATGCTGTCATCGTGTGGCATATTTATATATTAATTGAAACTCATTGTTACCAACCTATTGATTTTCCATGTTGCGATTACTGAATGAATCTTCGATGATCACCTCGATGTAATTTCATATGACCAGCCGAGAGCCCCAGATGCTAAAGACAGTAACCGATTCCGCGAGTTTCTCTAATGGTTCTGTTATCCCATGTTGTATCTGTTAAAGCATACCCATGCGACTGGTGTATTGCATTGCAAAGATATGAAGAGAAGTGAGCAAGAGCATGTCCGTTTTGAGCCGTCCATTGTGAACTTGTCCATCAATCTATTCAGACTCAGACAGCGCTATGATACTGAACTCCAGATTCCCCTCGGAAAATTTGAGGAAACGCTTCACACCCAAATCGAGGGCCTCGGCACTTAGCATGTCAGAGCCCTCTGGCAGACTGCCCCTGTCGATCGGTCCATCTGAGCCCCCCTCCAACTCCCACAGATGTCCATCCTTGCCCCTGACGAAAGCCAGGAAATGGTACCCGCATGGGTCTTCAGCCTGGGGTGCGGCACTGTCACCCGTTCTCGCAGCATTCATATGAGCTTTCTCCAGTTCCTCACTGTTATACAGGAGGTCAGCCCGTGGACCAGGCTCCAGCGGGACGGCCGACTCGATTAGCCGACCCAGGATCGAGCCCTTGTCGACAGACTGCCTGACATCACCGTTGCTCGCGGCGTGCAGGAGGGCAATGAGGCCGCAGGCATGGTTAATTGTCTGCAGGTACCACACGACGGGCTCCTGGTCGCCCGACTTGTTGTAGGTCAGCTCGCTCGCATTCTTCACTTCTTTGTGCCCGTCCTCCTTGCGAACTGCGTAGTACATGGGCGCGGGAGTGATGAAGATCAAGGCCTGGGCGGGGCGAGGCACCATGGCGAGAAGATCTGGGTCATCGAGGCTGTAGACATCGAAGAAGCGGAGCTTGGGCGAGAGTCCCAATTCGTGCACGAGAGATGTGAAGACTTCAGGATTGTTCTCAAGAGGAATGAATGTCTTGGTCCCAATGGGACGTCCGAGAGCGTCTTTGGCAGCCATGGTAGGGTGTTCTTACTAGTAGGTTGGTTGTAGTTGCTAAATATCCTCACGGTTGAAATGAACGAGTTGGCTTGGAGAAGAATCTGTGAACTGCACCACCTTTACTTGTCAAGCAAGATGTGAGGGCAGGTGCTAGGCAGCTCACATTGTACGCAACTGCCGGCTGCCTGGAGGCGTCTTACCGTGTGAATTGCTGTTTCCTGGCACTTACAGTGGCTTGAGGTTCAAAGTCGGTCAGTACTGGTATATTAGGAGGTAGATTTAGCGCTGTAACCCCCGCCGTTATGACGATATGTCTCACCTACCTCCACTGTGTCTAGGGTGAGCAAGTGCCCCGTAGCGCTGCGTGGTGCGCAAGCCACACTGCCCCTCTAGCCTCAACTGTCACTGCGCATGAAGCTCGCCCCAGCTTGCTCGAGCTCCCATCCAATCTGATATCTCGACCAGCCAATCCCGCGTCCTATCCTCTCTCGCACATCTTTGCATTGCGATTGTGGGGAGTCAACAATGGCCTTCCTCGTCCTCGTCATTGGGGATATCCATATCCCCGATCGAGCCCTCGACATCCCAGCCAAGGTAGACAAATGCCCTCCGTCCGCCCCGAGCCGCACTCTGCGCAATGCACACGCCCATCCATCACCCGTCTTGTTGAAAGTGACTGACCTGGGTCGCCCTGTTCGCCTCTGCCCCTGATTTAGTTCAAGAAACTCCTCGCGCCTGGAAAGATCTCCCAAACCCTCTGTCTCGGTAACCTGACCGACCGCCAAACCTACGAGTACCTGCGCGGCATCTGTCCTGATCTCAAGATCGTCAAGGGACGCCACGATGTCGAGGCCACCTCCCTCCCTGTAACCAACGTCGTCCAGCACGGCGGGATCCGCATTGGCTTCCTAGAAGGCTTCACCCTCGTCTCCAACGAACCCGACTTGCTGCTCGCCGAGGCGAACCGCCTCGATGTCGACGTCCTCTGCTGGGGCGGCACCCACCGCTTCGACGCTTTCGAGTACATGGACAAGTTCTTCGTGAACCCGGGGAGCGCCACCGGTGCTTTCCACCCTGGATGGGGCCTCGAAGCCGAGGAGGCTACCCCGAGCTTCTGCCTGATGGATGTGAGATAGGACGAATCTACCCCCTGACCCATCGACCAGGTTGGGCTTCGGGAGCCATGCTCGCCAGCTAACACGATATACCATCATTTAGGTCCAAGGAATCTCCCTCACTCTCTACGTTTACCAGCTGAGGAAGGACGACGACGGCAACGAGACCGTCGCAGTTGAGAAAGTGACCTACACTAAACCCCTCGAACCCGCCGCCGCCCCTGCCTCATGATGCGCCCACGAATGAACGGAAAGGCGCGCGTCCTTTCCCACACTAGACGCAAAAACCAGTGGACTCGGAGGGTGAACGGCTAGAGTTGGCCATGCCTGGCCCTCAGCGTTTCCACAAGCATCATCATCATTGTCCCCATGAATTGTCGATACCCGCACCTTAATATGACATTTATCCCGTTCCTGCCCACCTCAGCCAGGAACTCTTGTGACGGGCAACTTACACACTTAGAAGCAATTACTGCGAGAGATATGAAGCCCATTGCCTCCAAATTGGCCTGAACCAAAGACAATGAAAGAATATCGTGAATTTAGAAAATATTAAAAAAAAAGTTCCCATCGCTTTGGTATCTTAATCATTTACAGCCGTCTGAACCGTTGCAAGCCACCTGAATAAAGACTCCTCAAACATTGATTTAAAAAAAAGCAGGTCGTCCTTTGATTTGTCCTAGCAATCCGAATAGACACTCCGCAAAACAACGCCTTGCTCCGTGCAAATGCTGCCACAAGTGCTATCAGTTTTTCATTACACCATCATGCTTCGCCGTCTCGACGAGGTCTGTTCCCTTATTTCGAAGCTATCATCCTCTTGGTCAACCGCCGCGGAGAACCGCCGTGAGGATCTGGACTGCCGACTTGGGCCCCGCCTTCTCTTGCCCTCCGCCGGTCCTTGTTTCCCATGCTTCGGCGATGAACTCGTAAATTCATATAGATCAACGTCATCAGATCCTGGGATATTCTCCTTTGATGTATCTTCTTCCCTGCTCTCTCCTTCTGTTGTTGATGGAGATCGTTTGGATCCCTCGGTTGACATTGACGTAGCCTCCTCTTCTCGTGAGACCTTCCTCTCGGGGCTGGGAGGAAGCTTCTCATGTGTGATTTCACCGGAAGCTGCAGGGCCAGCTGATGTCTCTGCTTCCTGTTTTCTCTTAGAAAGATCACGGTGAATAGGTTCAGTGTGGCTGATCCTTCGAGAGCCTGCAACGGCATCCATCAATTCCTTGGTTGGTCTCCTCATCTTGTCTCTCAGATTGGGCTCCGCATAGCTAATAGTTGGCCTGCTTCGACGACTGGGGCGGGCCACTTCTTCCTCGGCTGGCATATGGACGGGAGGGGGCGTGCTTTCTATGGAGACCTTGGCGGGCTGTGCATCGGATGTATCGGGCTCGCTGTTGACTATTGCAACCACTGGCTCTGGTTCAGGAGATAGAAGTGGTACAACTTTAAGGGGAGCTGAGTTCTTGGTCTTCGATTTGACCGGCTCCTGGATTGGCTTGGACTTGGATAATTCCGCCTTTCCAATCGTAACGTCATCTAGAATGGCCGCTTTCCCCGACTTGGGGTTCTTCTTTGGAGAGCTAAAGTCGTCGTTGGTGTTCTTGGCCGAGAGTGGTTTGCGGGTCGCCAGCGGGACCGAAGTCTGCTCTCTGATGTCTTTCCTCATTGTGACCAGCTCCTTGAGAGTTTTCCCGCCAGTCTTCTCCCGAATTGATGTCTTGCTAGCCATCATTCGAGGAGGTTGGTTCTCATCCTGTCCTGATCCAGTCTTCTCTGAATCCTCATTCACAGAAAACTTGCGCTTTGTCCCGGCCTTAGCAGGAGGAGCAGTTGTTGTTTTTTCTTTCTCTGCAGCTGGGGGCTCCGCTGTTTGTGGTTTCAACTGTAGAGGCCTCACTGTTGACTTGAGGGACTCCGCCTTCGACTGTAGCTGGAGCATTGGCTTCAATGGCATATCGCGTTTCTTCGGAGAAGGGGAGTTGTCCACGAATGGGTCAGCTCTTGGGGATGGTAACAATTCTGGTGATTGCATTCTGTTCCTCGGGCTCGGGCTCAGGTTTGATGGTTCAGGAGATTTTGCGGGAGGGGATTCGACTTTGGCAGGTTCGTTGTCGATGAACTGTGACATAGGTGGGGGGCCTAGCTCCGGAGACTCGACTGAATCAGCCTCGGAGCGTAGTGCAAGTATTTGTTCAGGGCTTTGGAATGTCAGCTTCAAGTAGCAAAATACTTGTTTTTCCTAATCAACTTACTTCATCGATAAGCGTGGGTAGGATTTGTGTTCCGAGATACTTCCAAGCTCCTCGATTTCCCTAGCAACCTCTCGGAGGCGTCTCTGAGAGGGGCTGACACGACCATAAGCGCAGCTTGTTCGTCGCCTGGAGGAAGAGGTCCTTCTAATACTAGGCGAATGTCGCTTGGGGGGCGGTTCCAAGCCCAAGCCGGCAATTAGGTCACCCCATTCTGTGAGCTGAGATTCAAGCTTGGCCTTGATGGCGAGAGCATGGTCGGCAATTCGTCGTGCGTCGTTGTCTTCTACTTGTTTCTCAAGCTCGAGTATGCGACTTCGCAACTGGAGATTCTCGGACAACATGCAGGCGCAATCATTCTCCAGCTCTCTAATCTTGAGGGCGCGTACGTTGTTTGATTTGGCCAAGTCTCTATTCTGGCGCAGGAGCTTTCTTCGGACTGTGCAGATAGGACAAACGGTTTAGCATCCCGAGACTTATAGAAGGCAACAAAGATCGCGGATGTTAAACTTACGTGTTTCTAGGCTGTCCGTGGACACAGGAGGTTCGTTGAGCCTAGCCATCTTTCATAATGCGCGTATACCGAGCGCAAGAGACCGTTCGTGATCCTCTAGGAACTGTTCTTGGAAGCTCGCGACGACAATTTGTTCGAGGAGGTTGGGAAAGTGTCGGTCTGTGGAGTGGGTGTTAACTACCTGGCTTAGTGTGGGAAATATTTCAGTGGTGTCATGGGTTGGCAGGTATTTACAAACGGCCTATTGTGGGCTAGCGCGCCCAATCCGCCAAGAAACGTCGGTTGGCAGGGCAGCAACGCGGCGACACACGTGAAAGCTGGCCCAAGCTCCACTGACCCCCACCAACACCAACGTCAAGACGCGGGAAAGCACATTGGATTGGGTAGCAATTCAATGTCGTATCAAATCAAATCAATTTCCTTTCGACGCACGAATTCGACCCGAATACAACGAAACCCGACCTGACTCTGTCGAGATTGGCCCGGGGCGCTCTGAAATTCACCAATCGACATGTCATACCCTACGCGATCCTTCTCCGGTCACCTCCGTGGACCCAGTGGTGTGGGCTCATCTGCCGCACATTCACCAGCTCTCGTAGCGCGTATCGAGGAGAAGAAGGCCGAACTTGCGCATTTGCAAGAACTCAAAGAGCTCAGCGCTGCAGTTGCAACGCAGATGGAGGCTTTAGAGCAGAAGCTTTCTACACTTTCTGATGGAACAGAAGGTAGGAGAGTTCGCGCAACACAAGCGGGTTAGGACAATGCAATTAATAACTTGCTAGCTGTTGCAACCGTTCTCGGCAACTGGCATAATGTGCTACGGGCGATAAACATGGCATCGAGTATGAGATTATCTTTGCACACGCATGTCATGAGAAATGAAGGCTGACGGGCCACTTAGCCAAACTTGCAACCCCACCGAGTAATCCAGCCACGGAAGGAGATTCACAGCAACGACCTCAGGCGCTACCTCAAACCCTTGTGCGAATACCGACCGAGCACGCGCCAGTAGTCCAGGCTCAAGCGGAAGCTGCAGAGGCAGCAGCGGGCGACGACGAGGCTTCTATTTTAGGCAGATGAGCGGACATGAAACATCCCGGACACGAAGAACACTCAAGGAGTTTCTCTCTCAAGAGCAGTGACACTGTCAATCCTCGAAGCAGTTTTATGGCGATGCTGAGTTCCTCAACTGCCCGAATGTTGCGAGTTGAGGAGATAAGCTCTCACTGTGGTAGCATTGACGCAGTGTCGTATGATGCTTACCCCTGGGTTTTGTTGTAAGTTGCAAAGGAGCGATTTTCGGACATTGGAATACAGCAAATCAAAGCTGCGCTCAGGCAGGATTTCGATACAAGGCGAATGACTTCAGAAGTCTCCTGCAGTAAGCGGATATTCAAGGAATTTTCAGCAGATCGAAAGCAATGGCGTCATTGAAGCTATCTGCTATTACACTGATCCTGGGCGCCGCAGCAGTATCATCATGCCCCCTGCATACAGCTCTTTTTTTGTGTCAAATGAACGCCGATACGATATGGAGGTCAGTCAGAGATACTGTTGGTGGGGAGCGTTTATAGCTGTGGATTGAGTGGCTTGGGCTTTCGACTTCCAGACATCCAACCGCTAGGACTTCGACTGAACCGCTACCTGGAAAAGGCAGAAGGGCAACGCTACTGTGAGCATGTTTTGCATATTACTAGTAGTTCACATCGAGGAGCAAGGTTGTCTCGCTCATGTCAACATTGGGGCTCAGGTGGCACACAACCAACCAAAAGCTCTATACAGTGCCTCGTCATAGCCGAGTTATCAGGGGCGGCGCCGAATCATGTATGTACATAGTAATCTAGGTACATTGGCTAATTAGTGTTGGCCTCGAATTCGGATATTGTCCATCTGACAGGGGTGTCGAGACTTCTAATAGTAAAGCCAACCTCATGAAGTAAAGAAATTCTTATTTGCACCATCCGCAAACAAATATGGTAGCCTATCTATTTCAAGATACACCAGGTTTTTCTCCAGCAGAACACATGAGAGAGGTAATTGTCTCTTTGCAGCTGTCCTCTTGAATGGACGTGTGATCAGACGCGAGATTAGTAATTTCACACGCGTGGGGGAATGGCAACTTCCGTCACGCGGCGACCTTCTTACCAACGACCTACCAACATGTGCAGCTTGCACAAATTGTTGGAAGTCACAACTCGCTCAGGAACTTCTCACCTTGGCAGAGGATGACTTGGCTCGGGAAGGTGCCTGGTAGCCATTCTGCTAGCTATAAGAGATGTGCCAATTTTCTCTCTCCTCTTCTTCTCTTTCTCTCCCACATGGAAACACCATTATAGATAATGCTCAGTCTTATCTTGTGAATTCTGCTTCTTGCTGCATCCGTAGCACAACTCTTTATTGACTACACTGCACAAGCTCCCACCGAAGTCTTCTTCTTGACCCCTGACAACATCCGATCCTCCTCCGGTCTTTGGACTTAATTACGGCCCCGCTTCCGTCAACTTCGGCCTGCACCCCTGTTAATTACAAGATAATAACCCTTGACTGGCGTTGAAGGTTTTCCAGGGTCCCAATATTGGTAAGGAGACGCGCCAGAGAGGATGTTGGGGCACACATACCTCCCGCCGCCGCAGCGAGCAGACAGCTTGGATCTCCTCGCACTCGATGCAGTTGGGTTGCAAGACAGCTTTGATCTGGCCGCCGGCGCCAATTGCGAGCCGTTAGGAGCGCTGTCGGTTGGCTGCGACGAAAACACACCTGCTCTCACAAACGCATCGACCTCGACCGTCTAGAAGACGGCGCGGGGAGATCTAGATTTCGCGAAGCCTTTGGCATCCGGAGCTAACGCAACGTCGAGGGCGAAGCAGCAGCGATTATCAGTTCAGCTAGATACTTTCGAGTCCACCGAGGGCCAGGAGGAGAGTCGGGTAGTCGACATTGTTCGCAAATCGCAAATCGCGACTCCTGGCGCAGTTATTACCAATCCATCGCGCAACATTTCCTCGTGTGGTAGTGAGTAGCTTTCCCTGCCCTTGTGTTCTGCGCTGTAACTAAGCCTGGTCGATGCAGCCAACCACCAGGCAAACCATATTTTGGCAAACGCATACGAGGATTGCTCTATCAAGGAGCAAGTTCAGAACCAGTTGGCAGGTCAGTTCGAATGGTTGATCATACGCCCAGCGCCAGCAACTTCAGCCGGGCACCATGTCTCCCACACAACAAGCGAGAGCGAGAGCGACATCTCCAGCGGGTCGAACGGGAAAATGGTATTCGGCTGCAATTTGCTGTTTCGCAAGCGGCGATCAGCCTCTAGGAAGGCCGGTGTCGGGTGTCCCTTAGCTAACAGCTACACTTTTATAGCCACTCCTCTGGGGGTTGATGCTAGCATAGTGTTGCAGAACGAAGGGCCAGAGGGCCGAAACATCATGGCTGCCATGTCGAATGATACCCAGGGTACCTACCTGGATGCTTATCAAAAACCAACTTCAACGATTGATGTCATGGAGCAAGCCGTGTCACCCTCACTGACCGTTTTCAGTGAGAGGAGTGGCAGCTTTGCGGATGGATCCTCACGAGCTGGGTCTTTTTCACTGCCAAGGATCGAGGACTCACTCGCTGAGCTCGATCAGCTCGAGGATGAATTAGAAGCTGTTACAGCCATCGCAAACTCCAAAAGCGGGGGATCCTCCGATCGTGGGAAGTCCCAACCGACTCAAGAGCCCGTGATTGATACGAAGAAGGACAAGGCTAGAAAGCGCGTCACACTGGCGATCCCTCAGGGCGCCGCGACTGTGCGAGCAAAATCCAGTGAGAAGATACGGCCAGCGCTCCGGCGGAGCAGCTCATTGACTCTACGAAGTCGCCCAACCGAGGAACAGAAAGTCCTTGTTTCAGTACAGAATGAAGCTTCGCAGCCAAGGACCTCAGTAGCTCCTCGCTCGTCGGGCTCCAAGCCAATGGTCACTTCGACAAAACCGCTTACAGTACCTAATTTTGAACTCCCCGGCGAGGCTGTCGCTCGCCGACTAAAGGAACAGCGTGAAGCCCGCCGGGCACAACAACAATCTACTGCGCCAAAGGCTTATGTTGCACCCCCACGCCCAAAATCCGACAAACCTTTGACGAAACCATCCTTCGAGCTTCCTGGAGAGGCAATCTCCCGGCGGAAACGAGAAGAGCGTGAGGCCAGACTGAAAGCTCAAGAAGAAGAAGATCGTAAAAAGCGCGAGTTCAAGGCTCGTCCGGTCAGACAGAGTACAGGTCCAATTCCCACTATTCGCGCTCAGAAACCAAAAGCGGCCATCAGTTCAGATCTTAGTCAGAAGCCTCCTGCAGACACAACATCGAAGGTCAAACAAACATCCGCCGGCCCGGTGAATTTTTCATCAGCTGCACTAACTATCGGTAAAGCTGCAGGCCGCCGAGGCCGAGTGTCGTTCATCGAGCCTCCTGACGACGCAAGCCGCGGGACATCTGAGTCGGCTAGAAGCACATCTGGGAAGCGCAGTTCGGTATCTGTTGAAGAAGTAGTGAACCAGCGGGCAAGAGGTAAGGAGATTCTCATCCAGGATAATAGCTTCAAGATCAACCGGGAGCGCGAGAAGCGGGAACGAGAAGAGGCTGCGAAATCGGCAAGGCAGCAGGCCGCCGAACGCTCTAGGGCAGCGAGCCGAGAATGGGCAGAGAAGAAGCGGCGAAAAGAAGAGGCCCTCCTTCGAAAAGCTGCGCAGTCGAGCGAGGAGAGGAAGGGTTCGAGTGCTTGATAATACACATCACGGCTCACTGTACGGCTTCTTTTGTGTGAGACGTGTTTGGAGTTGGGAGTACAACCAATGCTTTGGCGCATGGCATAGGGGGCGTTCTGTTTGTTTCTTTACTTTTGGTCCATAAGGGCACCGGCGTTTCTGGTGCAAGATGCCACAATATGGCATAGAGTGTTTTTGTAGATGCATAGGTTTGGTGAGGCTTTGCAGCATGTTTTGTCCTCATCTGGAGAGTCGATAGTCTGGGATTGTACATCATTGTCAATATGCTTTTAAACTACAACTATGGCTTTTCCTTGTGCTACGGACAGACCATCAAAGCCTTAATGTTGTGTCGCTGGTGTTGTCGTAATTCAGGTAGTTGATACTCATCTCATACTGGGCAGGCAGCCGCGGGGCCTCACCACTAATAGATGGATACTTTAAAGCAGCGAGTCCCTCTTCCACCTAACACCTTCGTTCATCCATCGCAAAATTAACAGTCAACTACCATCAAAGGTTCCCTTTCAGACTCGATACCTCTTCTAGTCATCCACCCATCTGGTTCGTCACATATCATCCGCTGCGATACATCAGGCAGTCAACCATGTCTCACTGTCACGATGAGCATGCGGGGCACGGCCATGATCATCACGACCATGAACATGATCATACCGACGACCTTACCCCAGCAATTCAGTTTTCGCTTTACGAGCAAGTCAACTTTGATGAAATCATCACTCTGAATGAGTCACGACGAGACGCGGGCAAGGCGATTGTGAAGAAGACCTGGGCAGAACGACTGAATGTCGAGCCTGAGTTGGAAAGCGATGCCGATGAACAGATCTTAATGACCGTGCCGTACGTAAAATCAGAATACCTCCCAAAGAGCCGATGCTTTTCTCAACTCTCAGTCTACATGACAAATAAAGAGAAAAGAACAAAATCTCGGCTTACCGAAACTACCAACTAACATATCCCACAGCTTCACAGCCCAGATCAAACTGCACTCCATCCTCCTGCGCACATCCCCGAGCCCGTCGGCGCCCAAGACGCTCCACGTCTACATCAACCGGGACGACATGGACTTCTCGGCGGCCGAGGACGCGACCCCCGTGCAGAAGTTTGAGCTGTCGCAGACGTCGGACGTGCAGGAGATCCCCGTCAAGCGGGCGCTGTTCGGCAAGGTGCACCGGCTGGTGCTCTTCTTCGTGGACAACTTTGGCGACGGTGACGAGGACGTGAGCAGGGTCAGCTACGTGGGCTTCAAGGGCGAGTGGACGAAGCTCGGCAAGGCGCCCTCCAACATCCTGTACGAGGCGGCGGCACAGCCCGGCGACCACAAGGTGAAGGGGACCAGTGTGAATAAGATGAGTCACGGGCTGTGATCCCGCAGGGTGTTCATTTTCTAAAATTGAGGTGTGGAAGAGGCTACGTCTCAGTACTAGTCACTGTAATTTGAACAACCAAAAAAAAACCAAAACCTATCAACTCATCAAATTGAACAACTGAAGCAGCTGGTGAAGTGAATGTTTGGCCTAGGACAAGGCGGCACTAATTACAGTGGTCCAGGGTAGCTAGCAGGTGCCGTAGATGAACCGAGCTGGGATGATCCAACATCGGCCAAAATTTCGTCCCACGCCTTCAACAACCAGCGGTTCCAATCCCACGCAAACGCCGCCCAACTCACCACCAGCACATCAATTCGCCCACGATGCCACCCCGTCTACCGCTGCGGGTGGCCCTCCCCCGGCCCTGCGCCCGCCCCGAGCTCGCCCCCCCCCTCGTCCTCCCCTTCTCACCCGCCCGCGGCATCAAGTACGGCTGGTCGACGGCTCCCCCCCGGAACAAGCACAAGCGCTTCAACCAGCCCAGCGCGGGCCTCCCCAAACCCACGACGGGCCCCGGAGCCGCCCTGAAGCGCCGAGAAAGGACGACCCCTCTGCGGGCCGGCGTGCTCGCCACCAAGAAGGGCATGACGAGCATGTTCGTCGGCAAGGACCGCGTCCCCTGCACCGTGTTACAGCTCGAGCAGGTCCAGGTCGTGGCCAACAAGACGTACGAGAAGCACGGCTACTACGCCGTCCAGGTCGGCATCGGCTCCAAGGCCGCGCGGAACGTCACCAGCCCGCTGCTGGGTTACTACGAGGCCAAGGGCATCGCCCCCAAGGCGGAGCTCCACGAGTTCAAGGTCCGGGACAGCGAGGGCCTGCTGCCCGTGGGCGTACAGCTGCAGCCCGACTGGTTCCAGGTCGGCCAGTACGTCGACGTCAGGGGCCACTCGCGGGGTATGGGCTTCGCGGGTGGTATGAAGCGCCATGGCTTCTCCGGACAGGAGGCGTCGCACGGTAACTCAAAGAACCACCGTACCATTGGTTCGACTGGTCCCTCGCAGGGCAGTGGTAGTCGTGTTCTACCCGGGAAGAAGATGCCCGGTCGGATGGGCAATGAGTCGGTCACAGTGCAGAACCTCAAGATTATGAAGGTCGACAACGAGCTGGGAATCGTGCTGGTCAGCGGGCCTGTCCCTGGGCCCAAGGGCCGCACCCTGAAGATCCAGGATTCAAAGAAGAGAAAGCCACCCGCCCTGCATCACCGCGAGAGCTCGCTCAAGACGCTTTTAGAACGCAACCCAGATGCTGAGGAGAAGCTGGAGGCTGCCAGGGTGAGGCACATGGAGCTGAAGGCTCAGCGACAACCTGAACTCGATCTATGAAGCGGGATCGACTGAAAATTTATCATGAACTATCGTGGTCCGTTTATAAGAGATCACGGATGAAGAGATGCATATGCGGTAGAAACTCTCGGTCTAATGGAGTCAAGCTGGGCATGTACTATATATAAAACATTCACTATTGTACAAGAAACCTTTTTTTACACCACCCTCTCTCTCGTCCAACCTTTCGTTCCCGTCCATTGTGCTGAGATTACTTTCTTCCATTGTACACTGGATCCCCCATGAATGCATAGTGAGATCACACTACCAGACACTCACCGATTGAGGGCACCCTGCTGTCTGAAACCCCTCCTCGAAGCCTCCTCCGCCTCGAACGCCTGATCATCCTCATCGGTGAGCAGTCCCCTGAAGGGGTCACCACCCTCCAAGAGGTTGATCGTCCGGCCGTCCTCAGTCTCGAGACTCCACTCGGAGGTCTCGAACATGCCCCGGTGCGTGGGCCGGTTGCTCACGAAGCGCATGGTGCCCCAGCCCCGGGTCCCCTTGACGGTGAACCAGATGTTGATGCGGCCCTTCATCTGGTTCATCTCGCCGTGGATGTAGGGGATCTGGTGCTTGAAGTAGATCTCCTCGCCCAGGACCTCGCGGGCGCGCGGGCTCGTGCGCAGGGCGTACATGGTCGAGGCGATGACGGGCGACGACGACTTCTGGTAGTTGAACATGGCGGCCGAGGCGATGGCGATGAGGGCGACGAAGATGGGCATGGTGCGGCGCCAGCGGAAGCCGATCTGGGCGACATCTAAAAAGGATTTGTTAGCCTAATTATCCCCTTTTTGGGTCTGATAGGCCAATGGGTATGGGCGCAAAATATACCTGGAAGCTCACGATCCGCTCTTCGGGACATGAGCGGCCCATCTCCAGGCCTGGGAGCCGGTGTCAACCATCTTCTCTGGAGGCACCTGGTCGGCGCGATTCTCGATTCGGTGGAAAGGCTCGTCCTCGCAATAGGTGCCAGTCGGCGCCGGACAACCCGTGACAGCATGGTTGTGGCTTGTCCGTCGTTTTTCGTTGGCAATTGGGGTTCAACCGGAAGCCCAGCAGTTAATCGGATGTTCCAAGAACTGGCGATACTTTCTGGTGGGCTGCCCCCGACAATGTGGACCCAGCCACTTGTGGCGCCCGATTGTGGCTAGGCACATTCACAAGCTTTCAACGCTTCTGTGCCCAGCAACGTCATCGCTTGCATTCTTGTACAGCTTCGAGAGGGAAGCTTTTTTCTGCCCTCTCTGAACCTAGGAATTTTTTTAGGCCTCGTCATGGATAATGCTAGAGGCACTGCCGCTCGGCTGCGGCGCACGTTCCAGTACCCAGATGATAACCACAGCGACAGCGAGGGCTCCGAGCCCGAAGCCATGGACGAAGAAGGTACCTTTCCTCTTCATTCCGCTAACGAAGACACTTCAAATTCTGCGATATAATGGGGGAAAACAAAGTAAAAATAGAAGCTAAATCTGGAGAAAAACAATAGAACAAGAAGCCCTGATAACCCGCCTCGCCGCCGAAAACGCCTCCCGCAACGCCTCATTCACCCGCGTCCTCTTCTACACATCGCTCGCCGCCGCCGCCTGCTACCTCCCATCCCTGCTCCTGCCCTTCTACGCCGGCGTCACGAAGCTCTTCTCCATCCTCGCCGTTACATCCTTGGCGTCTACGGCGTTCATCCTTCATCGCCTGCCGCCCACGACCACCGGCATCGCGCTGCTGGATGGTAAGGGCAAAACGGGCAGGGGACGGGACCTCCCGCTGAGCATGGGGACGATGCAGAGGTCTCCCCTCGAGACATACCTCCCGTATCTGAACCTCGGCCTCATCGCCGCCCTGATCCTCATGGGGATGGTCACAAAATCAAACGTGGCGAGCTTTGGATGGATCGGGATGGGCAACCTGCCGGCCATTGTATACATTGTAGTTCTCGTAGCAAAGATGGTCATGGCCAGCGTCGACCCGGAGGCGGAGCTGTCAACTCTTAAATATGAGTACAAGGGCGCTTAAGCTAGTGCTAAAGTCTTTGTCAAACATTATGATGGCCAATCGACATGGATTCAATATTAATGAATAAACGCGATAAAAGCCCAATCCAGATAGACGTGACCATGCCGTAACATCTAATTGTAAACCATTCTACATGTCTATCGAGTCATTAAACCGCAAAACACCATAGCTTTTCAAAACACCATCTACCCCCTGAACCGTTCGCGAGAAAGGATCTGAATGTGGGCTCGCCTCGATGGGGTCTGTTGATTTGTCGACCACAAGAGCCAAGCCGTGAGACTTGATTGCATCCACAAGTGCAGGTACCATGTCCTAAAAGCAATGGTTAGCGAAAGAACCACCTATAACCTGTTGAGTATTTCAGCAACTTACCAAAAGGCGGGAGAAGCATATCAGGCCCATAAAGTTATTACTCTGGGCAATTCGGACCACCTCCTTGATAGATGCGCTTCGCCGTCCACTGCTTTGGATAGTATTTAGTGAGGGAATTGTTCCCTCTCTCCCCAGGTCATTACACAAGAACACGGGGAAGTTCGGCTGCTTCCAATTCAGAGCAGTGCAGAGCCGTGGGTTATAACTGCTGAATACGATCGATCGGATGGATTCGGGTGACTGCGCGCGCTGCGCTCGTGCGTGATCAAAGACAATCGACAGAATGGCATCAACGAATGTGTTGACATCCAGGGCTGGCCCAAGAGACAACCCCTCTTCTTCTTTGGGTGTGGGATATAATACTTCCAGGTTGATATGGATTCTGGGGGGTAGGATAGCGAGGGCTTCCTCGAGGGTTACGCCTGCGTTGGCAAGGATCTGGTATATCTCGGTGATGTTTTCTGTTGACTTAGCAGGGAAGTTGACAAGTTCTCCGCGGCTGGGACTCTGCGCCGTCGTAGCCTTGAACTGGCTGCCGGTCAACCTGCAAACGGGGATATCAAGCCCACCACAGGGGATGGTCCAACGAGGCCACAGGACCGGAACGCCGTCACTCGTATATTGAACATAGAGTCGCACGTAGTCGCCGGAGAGACTTGACCCGGTCACAATAGCGCTAGTAGGCTGGTTAAACTGGCTTGTAGCCTTCCAATAGGTCTCAAAGTCAGTAATCTCCAATGGCTGCCCTTGGAACGGCTTTATGACCTGTGTGTTGAATGTGATTTGTCCAATGGCTCTCAACCGGGGGTCGAATAGTGGGAGGCAGCACTGAGAGTTCCCAGGCAAGCTCTTGAATGTACTTGGCAGCACAACTGTTTTAGCAATAACCTTTGCGCCGTAAGCGGGGAAAACATCAAAGTCTAATGAAAAAGAATCAAGACTGTCAATCTGGAAAGAAACAATTCGGGTGTCTTCTTGAAATGGTAGAATGATGTTCTTAGGAATGAGGTCGGAAACTTTAGACGAGATAGTAAGTCTAGCAGCTGGATATTTGCCGTCTTGGAAAAAGACAAGAGGTTGCTCAACTGTGTCAAAGCTGATTTGGACCACAATTTTCGTGTCGAGGAAGTTGTGTCCGTATCTTCGAAGTGGGATGATTGGGGGGGGCAGCTCGAGAATAGGGATGGCATCGGGATCCAGACTCATAGGGGCTGGGCCAGAACTACCGTCGATGGGACCGAGTAAGGGTTGCATGAGCATGGGGCTTGTGCGCGACCTAGTATAGAAAGGCGCAAGAAGCTTCATACACTCCAAATGTCCTTCCCAGGCTGCGTAGTACATCGCGGGTAATTCCGACTCGTCCAGGATGTTAGGGTTCGCTTCGGCCTTAAGTAAGGCTTGGAGACACTCGACGTTGCCCTCGCTAGCAGCATGTACGAGTGGCGTCCAACCGTACAGTTTATCAACCTGGTCCAGATCTGCGCCGTACCTCTGTAGCAAGAGAAGAAGATCAGAGGTCTGTCCAGCTCTCGCCACGAGATGCTGAGGGTAGAGTCCTTCGGCATCTGGTACGATCTTGGCCCCATGCTTCAACAAAATCTCTACCACAGCGACTGAGCCGTGTTCGCAGGCAAGATTAAGCGGAACATGGTCGGATTCTGAGACAGGATCTATTCTGGCTGATCTTGAGAGAAGACGTTCGACGCAATCAAGGTGTGCATGGATAATGGCATGGATTAAGGGTGTGAAGTTGTCGTGATCGATGAGATCAATGGTGTTGGAGCCAACTATAGACTGTCAGTACTAGCTCGAAGATAATAGGGGAATTGCATCGCGTACCGCTCAACAATGCGTCTAGGATCCCGATGCGACCATGCAAACTAGCATAATGAAGAGGTACCCGGCCGTAAACATCGGTGCGGTCGACAACAACGTTGGCATCGAGGCCCCATTTTAATACATGTTCCTTGCCGTAAATTGCAGCTTGGTGCAAGCAGTTTCTCTCGTTGATGTCATCGTAGGAGTGAAGGTCCACCAGGCCAGTGTCGAGAAGAACCTGGAGCGTCTCTACCGGGGCGTCATGGATGGCGGCCAGGAATGTACGAGTGATGCGTTCCATGAGAGAGTTATCCCCTTCGCTTGTATCACTTGCAAGTCGCATCTTGGTCAACAAGTCTCGGAGCGTGCTAATATTCCCTGTGACAACAGTGTCGAGGAGTAGAGTGTCGGCATCCCCTTCGTCTGTGCCCACGAAGTTTTGACTCGTTACCACGTGCCCTGATGCTCTGAAGTCGACCTGGATCCCATCTGACCAAGCGCCAAGCTCCTGAAGGCTGGTCGTGGCCTGATCTGAGAGCTCGCTGATAACTGTGGCATTGAAGAATGGCTGTACTTCGACAGCGCGCGAGAGGTAAAGTTCTTTAGTCTTGGACTTGGACGTCTTGTCCCACTTCTTCAGGATCTTGGAGAAGGCTGTGCCGTTGACCTCGACGAATTGTTGCAGCTTATTCAGGTCGGTGGCAAACTGTTGGAAGCCTTCTTCTAACGTCGTGAACTTGGCTGAACGTCTTGAGCTCCCTTGCCGGCTCTGGAGGACCTTCTTCTTATCGAGAAGGGTCTTGAGACGTATCTTAAGCTACATCAGAGGGGAAAGAAAGTCAGCGGCGGCTACACAGAGTCGACGGTCTCCCGTAACGCGATGGTGTGTCCTACCTCGGCCTCCTTTTGCAGGTAGAAGGCATTGACCTTGTCTAATTCTCGCTCCTACTCCCATGTTAGTTCCCGGATAGGCTTCAGGGGGTTTTTCTTTTCATACCAGTTGGAAGAAAAATGTGGCCTTGTTTGCCTGGAGTGCAGCTTGCGAGTCTGCAGGCATGGAAGGGCGCCCATTTCCATTTTGAGCACTGAGCGTAGGCGTCGCAGAAAGCTTTTTAATGAGCTGAGAAACAAGTACACTGTTAGCGTTCTACTCGTACACGGGCATGTTTCCTGACCGCTCAGCACTCTCGTTACAAAAGAGGCAGCCCAATGTCGTGGGGGGTCAGGTCCTGATGTGACAAATGCAAGAGACTACTGGTGGTTGGTGTGCAGCAAGCCTTCTTGCATGCACGGCTCGGGGTCTCCGAGACGGCGAGTCCTCCCAATGAAGACCCTCATGTACTAGATGGTGAAGGAAAATGAATCGAGATGGCGCAAATATTGCTTGCCTCACCTTTTTCAGAGCTTTGTAATTTACGAAGCTAGCTGCGTACTCCGGCACCTCTAGTTGGCGCTTTTGAATCTGCTTGCCGAACTTCCTGCATGTGTGTAAGACATGTGATCCGACATGCCATGAAACAGAAGAGAGAAGAAGGCGAGGAGGGATGAGTAGTAGGGCAAGACTGCTCTGAGGGACTGTCACTTACATGATGCAACTGGCCGAGCGGGGGTACCTGGACAAGCACAGTTGACAGAAGTCGTCGAATAAGCCGTGATGTCCTACGGCATGCAGGCGACAGGAGCCAGAAGGAAAATGGAGTGCTTGACTGGCGGCGCGCAAGCTACGTGCCGTTGCTTGTGGGTGTTATATCCGGGTCACAGCAGGCGTATCCGGCTCTCTATCTCTGGCACGATGGTAAGTTTGGGCTAATAGGAAGAAACCGAGTGACATGACACCAATATCAAAAAGCTGTCCACGGCGCGACTGAAACATAGGGCGGTGATGTGGTAGAACGTGGGGTTATGCCTTGGGGTGTGAGGTGAGAATAGCGGTTTCTCAGCCAAACGAAGGGGGCACCAATACGGGAAGAGGAAAGTCCACATACACCGTTGTAGATCGGTATCCCTGAAGCGGAAGGCAAAGAGAGGCAAGAGCAGGAATGTGAAAGAGCGACGGCTTGCTCGAAGTATTGGGCAGTGTAGGTGGTGTCGGCCTTTTTTTTTTTTTTTGGCCCTTGGCTCAGAGTAGTCGAGACGGCGCCTTGAAAATGAGGAAGGGCGGATATGACTCGCCACGTTCTTAGAAGAACTCGGCCTGGAGCAGACAACGTTGAGCCAAACCGGCGCACAGGGCAGGAGGGACGAGGAAAAGAGAAGGAAGGGGCAATAAAAAACGACCGGTTCAAAATAGAAACTGTTAGGATAGAACCCCGCTGTCCCGGTGTCGGGAATGCTGAGCGAAAATGAAGGGAAGTGGGAGCAGCACTACTGGGCATCACCTACAGACAACTGAAGACTCGAGGCTGGGTCTAGTAGTAGCACTGAACTACCAGCGAAGCGGGGGGGGTTCTGGTGGTGGTGACCGAGGCAGCAACCTGCAACAACAACTCAAGGCAAGGCAGGTCCTGGTCGATCGACTTAAAGGGAAGGGAAAAATGCGCCTGGACTAAGGCCCCGACTAGGCACTTGCGGGCTGCATGCCGGGACTCTACGCGTCGCCATCTCATGGGACAGACGAAGCAGTCCAACGGGCCATTTCCAACATACCTGCGCAGAGAGGCCCGCATCCATCTGTCCAGAAGGGTAATATGTAATATTGATTCGCACCACCTGTGTCCGTCGGTTGGCCGAGCAGAGCCCACGCCGACCATCCTGCTGGCCATCGCCATGCCCCGAACCAGATGGCGCGCCTCGCCCGGTGAGCCTGGCGGCGCCTGCAAACAATACCTGCACCTCTTGGGGTTGGACGCTGAACCGCACCAGGTATTAGCCGGCAGCGTGCGCGGAGCGGGCTCTTGGCTAACAGCTGCCACAGCGCCCCGACGCCGCCAGCCAAGTGGGGAGGGGTGCCCCTTCCGACGGCGGTTTCCTGCCACACCGGGAGGCTCAACCCCTCCGTCCAATCGCTGGCCGATATCCCAACCCGTGCTTGCTCGATAGGTATGTAGAGCTTGAGATGCCCCTGCACGAGAACGGGGGGCCAGGCCTCACGTGCATCATTGGGACTCAGGTGGTGGATCGTTCACAGCGACGGCGCTGATGTTGGCTTCCGTGACATATGCGGCCATGACTTCGTGTCACACAGGCGGGAGGCAGGGTAAGCAACGAGCAAAATGTCAACGGCCGCCCCGAGCTTGCAGCTATCTATCCACGCCCAGGAGCCTGGGCCAGCGTGGGGTTAGGCTGAGGGTTCGTAGTAGGTCCTCTAGTTCTACGCCTAGCTGCTGTAGCTACGTAAGATCGGGTCGATGCTAGGACACCTCCGTCATTATGCATATATTGTTGTTCGGTCTTCCGAAAGAATCATCCAAGAGCCAGTTGATCCATTGAAAAAAGTATCCCAACAAACTAGCTCCAATACAAAAATCCCACCCGCCTTCTCCCCTTGCTTTCAGCCCAAAACTCCACCTGCCGAGAAAGGCCTCACGCATGATGACTACGGGGTTGTTCCAGTGAGGAATACACGTATGTATACATTATTCCTCTCCAGGTCGATACTTGGGTGCCATTACATAGGTACGGTACCATCGAAAGGGGCCGAATGATCCTGGTTGATCTCAGCGTCCGATCGAGTTAAGTCATGGTTGCAATGACCTGATTGGTGAATTGAACACGGCTGTGAAAACCATTCGTCTTAAATATTCAAACCTCCTTCTGACGACTAGACTGGCATAAACCTACAATGCTTTGACCCCATAATTGCTGGCTCGAATTCTCCATGATACACGTAACAGTCCCTTGCAACAATGAGCAGCCACCCACACAGCGCATGATTCGAAACGAAAATTTCGGGTATACCCATTCCTAACAACCTCCACTATATCCAGAGCATGCTTCCACCTCGAAGCCTAGGCCTTCTTAGCGCTTGAGTCACCGTCCTTGCTCGGGCTGGGCTCAACCAAGCTATCGGCCATTGCTTCTGCAGCAGCCTGCTTCAGCCTTTCAGCGTCATCTTGGCCGGCATCCTTGGTCTTGGGCTTGCTCTCCTTGGTGTCCTTAGGGTGGTCTCTCTCATCCTCACTATCACCAAGACTGAAAGGGTCGTTGTCTCCAATTGGGCTGGGGTCGACAGATGACAGCGGCTGCCACTTGCTTGCCTTGGCACCAGTCTTGGCCGTATCATCCTTTGGCGGCACTTGAGGTGAGGCATCGTACAACTGGATCTCTTCTGTCTCCTCCTTGAAACCAACTCGGCGACCTTCCTTGGGCCTAGGGGAGGTCGAGTGTTGCCTCTGAATTCCAGTGTAAGGGGCGGTCCTGTTAATTGGGGCTTCATTCGCGTTAGTTTCGATCGAATTGCAACTTCTTGCAGGTCCAAAAGGATGGGATACTTACTACCGTCGGCGGACAACTTCATCCCCGCAAAATCGTCCCCAAGAACCTGTGGGTCGGCGTCGTAATCGCCGCTCCTCCGGCTTGTCTCACCCGGCCGACCATAACCTTGATTATAACCATGACCGCCTTGTTGTTGGTGATGGGGATCTTCGCTTTCGTCAAAGGAGTCTTCGATCCGCTTCTTCAGCATATCAATCCAGCCATTGACCTTGGTCTGTGTCTCAGCGAACCCCTGGCGCAACTGGTCACGAATCACCGGAAGGTCATCGTCGATAAAACTGTGCTCTCGCTCCTCGTTTGGATATTGCCCCTGGCCCCTGGGGTCGCCGCGGTTTGATGTTCGCTGTTCGTATTCTCCAACGTTGTCGTAGTGTTCCGCCAGCTGGCGCGCGTACAACTCATCCGCCTCCATCTGGGTGAGCTCCCTGCGTCCTTGGGGTCGTGGCGGCTGTGGAGGGGGGACTTCTTGCGGCTCGTTCTGATTTGCGGCTTCCGGGTCGGTCATTTCTAGTTATGTTAGTTTCCCATCGCTTTCTTGAGCCTCGGGTTCAAACCATACCAAGCAGGGCGTTAAATGCAGGCTCGACTTGACCCCCGCTGGCGCGCAAGACGGCTTTGATAATCCCCGGGTCAACCGAGGGGAATGCCTCCTTTAGAATCGCTTCATTCTTCTGCGCCTCCGTCAGAGGGCGAGGAGGTTTCGAAGGGGGGACTTCATCCCTTGCCCCTGTCGTAGACTGAGTTGTGTTCTCTGTTGTAGATGCAGGCACAGCCGCGGTGTTGGGAGTCTGACCCGAAGGAGAGGTTGTGGAGTTTCCCTCTCCTCCCAAGATCCCAGTCTCTTGCACATCGTCGTCATCCATCTCGAGAGGTCTAGCGGTTGTAGGCGACTCGGCACCGCTTTCTACTGTGTTCTTGTTCTTTGTTGATGTTAGTGACACGTCTAGCGTGAGGGATCTAGGTCCAGTTATTAGGAGATTGGTTGGCGGGAGCTCACCGTATCGGCCGGTGTCGACATATTCGGGGGTGTAGGACGCAGCAAGCAGGTAGTGAGGTTGCTAAAACTCCCTCTGGTATTTCAGTCGCTTTTCTTTGTGGGTACAGTACCCTTGTAAGCCGGGACGAAGCGTTCAACGATAGTATTAAAATGATGAATGTGGCTTCATCTTGTATCACGATTCCAGATGACGAGGGGTCGCTTACCACCTACTGATGACGTTCTCCACATATCCGCTCAGCCGCCTACTTGAGCTAATAAAAGGCACATGCGCCGTAGGTTATGTCGGGCTTAGGGTAGTCATATAGTGTTGGTGCGGCGAACGAGCTATAATAAACTCCAACCTACCCTGTGGTGAAGATGAAAGCTCCGTGATCCATCTTCTCACCTTATTTAAGCCTTAATTGAACCTTTCATCATAATAGCCGGAGACATCCCATCCTAAGAGCCTATACAGGGCTTAATATCACTACAAGCCTAGAGAACGTGGATTTTGGGAGGCGCTCGTCTCAATATGGCGGAGTTTAGCATCGACTCAAATTTCATCCCAGCACTTCACAAACCTCCCGCGTTGCTTCCCATCGCCAAACATCGGGAGAGCTTACTGTACGTCATCGAGAAATCTCCAGTCACCATTGTCATTGGACAAACAGGATCAGGAAAGACAACACAAATTCCCCAGTTTCTTGAAAATGCTGGCTGGTGCTCCGACGGCAAGATAATCGGCATCACGCAAGTGAGTACCTAATGGAATGAGAATACCGTCGAGACATAAATACTGACGATGCTATAGCCCCGGAGGGTTGCGGCCACAACTGTGGCAGTACGTGTTGCCGAAGAATTTGGCTGTGAGATTGGGAAAGAAGTCGGATACTCTATAAGATTTGAAGATGTCACCTCATCTTCGACGCGCATCAAGTTCCTGACCGATGGACTGCTCATCCGCGAGGCCTTGGTTGACCCATTGCTGAGCAGATATTCCGTCATCATGGTTGATGAGGCGCACGAGCGGTCAATCAGCACAGATGTTTTGCTTGGATTGCTGAGGAAAATAAGAAGGAAACGACCCGACCTGCGCATCATCATCAGCAGCGCAACGCTCCAGGCAGAGGACTTTTTAAAATTCTTCTCAGAGGGCCCCGAGGACACGACAGCAGGCAAACCTGCCTCGAAAGGAAATGAAATTGCAACCATTGTCAGTCTCGAAGGGAGAACATATCCGATTGACATCCTCTACCTCGAATCGTCAGCTGAAGATTATGTGGAGAAAGCCATCAAGACAGTCTTCGACATACATACCCAGGAAGGTCCTGGCGACATACTCGTCTTCTTGACTGGCCGGGAGGAAATCGACACTGCCGTCCAGGCCGTATCTGAACGAGCCTCGCAACTAGATGCCAGACAAGGCGCGCTCCAACCGCTACATTTATACGCCGGTCTCTCCACCGAAGAGCAAATGTATGTATTCGATAAAACCCCCGAGAATACTCGCAAGGTGGTTTTTTCGACAAATATCGCCGAGGCTTCAGTTACGATCGAGGGCATTGTCTACGTGGTGGACTGCGGTTTCGTGAAGCAACGCGCTTACAACCCAAAGACCGGCATTGAAACGTTAACCGCGACTCCCGTATCAAAGGCATCAGCACAGCAGCGAGCCGGAAGAGCTGGTCGGACGAAACCAGGAAAATGCTTTCGACTGTACACTGAAGACAGTTATGGCGCGTTGCCTGATGCCAACATACCCGAAATTCAGAGATCGAACCTAGCACCGATAATCCTACAGCTCAAAGCGCTTGGCATTGACAACATTGTGAGGTTCGGTTTTCTGTCACCTCCCCCGGCCGAACTTGTGTCCAAAGCTCTTGAGCTTCTTTATGCCCTCGGAGCTTTGGACGAATATGCCAAGCTCACCAGGCCGCTGGGATTCAGGATGGCGGAGGTTGCCGTGGAACCAATGATGGCAAAGACTCTACTCTCCTCGCCAGGTTTCAGATGCACTAGTGAGATACTCACCATCGCTGCCATGACTAGCGTCGGTGGGAGCGTATGGTTTCACCACGATGGCGAACGAAAGAAGATGGAGACATCAAGACGGAAGTTCGCTGCAGAGGAGGGTGATCACCTGACGTATCTGAACGCCTACCAGACCTTTGTGTCGAAGGGCAAGAAGGAACCCAAGTTTTGCCATGAGAACAATCTCAACTACAAGGCAATGGCACGGGCAGTCAGTATACGTGCACAGCTGAAGCGTTATCTGGAGCGCTTTGACATTCAGGTGGACGAGACGAGCGCAGCATCTCGGCCGGAGAACCCGCTTGAGAAAGCAGAGCAGATACGGAGATGCCTGACCGCCGGCTACTTTGCCCATGCCGCACGAATGCAGCCTGACGGGACATTTAGAAGCGTAGAGGGAGGAGTTGTCCTCCACGCACATCCCAGCTCTTTGATGTTTAATCGGAAGGCTGACTGGGTCATCTTTCACGAGGTCATGGAGACGGGCAACAAGATCTTCATCCGCGACGTGACGAAAATAGATAGAGCGTGGCTTCTGGAAGCAGCACCGGAATTTTACAAGCTGACTGGTTAGCGAAGACGTCAATGTTTGGTTTCTCCTGGATACTGCCCCAGGTGGAGGGGCGATTTGGACTGGATTGGAGATTAGCTATTAGTAGTGCTAGCGGTACCTAACGAGGGATGACGTCGGCGAGGATGGCTGGATTGAAAGACAAAATGAACACAGGCTGTGGCAAATAACGGTGACCGTAGAAATCATGCTCTTACTGTACAACAATGAACAGGAGCATACAGGATCTAGGCTAAGGAGGCAGCTGCAGGGCTGAAACTGTGGGAGAGGAGACCTTCCGTTCTTGTCGTTGGTTGGATTCCCGGACCAAGGCAGAACAGAGGCCTCAATTGCTTGGGGGCTGCGTGGACTCCTCTCTTGGTCCTGCTCTCATCTCGGGGCACAAGAGGTCTGAAGCCCTAGCCGACGCAGTGGCAACTCTCCCTGACTCTATCCAAGCTGGACAATGGTGAACTTGTAGCGGGCGAGACGAGGGCCGGCAGGCAAGACAACCTAGTTAAATTTGTCTCGTTTCCCAGGCGTCCCTTGCTTGCTGCACATTGACTTACGTGTGCGTGTGCATGTGCTGTGGATGTGGATATTGCAAGTGAGGCTTTTGCTCCCCGTGAAACTCCTTTTACTGTACCTGGCCTACTGGCTGGGGATGCATGCGAGCTATGCAGATTCGAGTTTAGCGTCAGGGGTAAAATAGGAAGTTGCGCCACGCCGCAGCATCGTACCTGCGTAGAATTTTCCTCAGCGCAGCCAACGCCCGTCGACGGGTCGGTTATTACAGGATTGTCCAGGTGCCCCCGCTCAGACAGTTGCATGAGGACCAATCGACGATGTCCTTGTCGATGCTGGGTGGGACGGAGGACGGGCGGACCAGCTGGAAGACGCAGTTAGCACTGTGCGTAATACGCATGTGCTAAGTTGGGAATCGCTCCATGGTAGACCCATGGAACGACTGACCGGAGCTCAGCGCCTGCTGTTAGTGCGGCGCGCGCGTCTACCTTAAGTACCTACTACCACCTGAGTCCGAATGATAGGAGGTACCTGACGCCTTCATTGGATTGGCTGCCTCTTGGTGCTTGCGATAGGTCCCCATGTGTGTGGTTTGCGAGCTGTGGTTAGGACCTCAGGTCGGTGGGCTCGCTGGCGATGGTCCCGACAGCTTGTTTCTGCGCATTCATTTCGTCATTAATTATATTGTAGACATTGTACTGGAACAATGCCCTGCTGAGGAGAGACAGAGCTACCAAAAACTGGAAGCCTGCATGAAATTACACTCGGTCTCGGTACCCATCCTGGGTCCAACCGTCCCTGGCTCCTTCCATGTCAACCAACCGGGGGTGCTTGCTTACTGGTCGAACGGTGGACCCAGATGGTACACGCCCTGGTGCGCCACATCCATCCAAACGTCTTGAATGATTGTCTCGACTCTCCTCCTTTGCTTCCTTCCTCCTCATCGTCGGTTCCCTTTTTCAATCTATTGACCGGATGCTCATCGTGCCTGCCAGCAGGCTTGCCACTCTTTTTATTGCTTAACACTAGTCATTCTTTATCTAATCGAGCATATTGCATTCCAACGCATTGCTGCGCTTCTCGCAACGACGTCAACCCGTTTCTTCCTTGCCGGTCTTTATTCTCATTTTCAGCCGTCCAGAAACCACACAGACTTCACCCACGAACTTGGTACACACCCCAGTAATTCCTCGACCCTTCGACAAGACTGAGTTCTCCACATCGACCACGACTTTTTTTTCTGAATATTTTGTGTCGCTTTTTTGTCTCGAGCGTGTGCCTTATTTCGCATCATCTTAATGGACATGACACCTTGATTGGCCGATAAAGGATATTCTCGTTCGACAGCCTTGGCCGTTATATTTAATTTCTCTTCTTCGATCCTATATATTCTATATTTTCTTCTCAACGTGTCGATACTTGGTTGGATATTTAGGTCTCACGAGACCTCCTGGAACCGTCGTTTTTCGCTTGGTAATTCGTTTCCTATCGCCCCCCTTACGGCATCATGGCGGTTATGGATCTTGTGGGCAAAGATGGGAGTCTTGGGCAAGAGGGGGCTGCCAGGGCATCTACGCTGGTCACCCGAGAAAAGCCTTTTACTATCAGCAACCTGACCATCACCATCGCTCTCAGTGTCAGGTAAGTACCTGTTAGCCCCGGATTACTTCAAAGGGAATGCGTTAACTTATTTCTCAAATCTAGTATTCCTATCGTGGTAATTCTTGTAGTTCTGGCTGTTCTCTATCGTCGGAATTTGAAGAGGCAGAGACTTGAGGATGCAAAGGACTCTCACCGTGACCTCGATTTTGGTCTTGGCGACACCCCAATGGTAGATGGCAAGAAGAAGTCCCGCAAGAGCTTCCTTATGGGAGGAGACAAGAACAACCATCGAAACAACCAACTTTCCATGGATATGAACCTTTCCTCGCCATATCTGCTGCCACCCCAGGTCCAGGCCTCGCACGATTCCCTAACCAGGGACTACAGCAAGGAATACGACCCTTACCAGATTGTGAACAGCGAGGTTGGGTCTATCAAGTCATTTGGAAAAGAGAGTCATCATAGGTCTGGTCCGATCAGGCAGGGTTCGTTCCCTAAGTCCAGCCTTTCGTCCCACGAAAAGTCGAATCCTTTCGCATCCCCCGCTGCCCCCGAGCCTGTTCACCGAAGCTCTACCCCCAACGACCCAACTGGACCAATCCATCCCATCAAGCCCCAGGTTGCTGAGATGGGAGATGTGAATGGATTCGAGCCCCAACAAACACCAGATATCCAAGAGCCACCAGCAGCTGTTTCGAAGAACCCTATGGAACGAATTGCCAGCCCCCCAATTGACGACAAATTCGATTTTGGACTTCCCCCATCTGACAATCACAATGCCGGCACCAAGTCTCCTACCACCTCTGGTGGTCTTGGGATTGATCTCAATCTCCCACAACCCTTGTCGCCTATCGATGATTTAATGTTCACCACAGCAAATTCAAGCCCGCAACCAGACGCTAGCAGCCCACAGCCTGCCCAGACCCTGGCACAACCAACAACAGCCACACCTGGAGCCCGAGAATCCCAAGGGAGCTTTTATGATGATCAACCCCAGAACCAGACCACTGACTATTACGAGGACTACAGTGACTACGGTCGAGGCCGGTCAACTTCAAGGCAGTCTCTGGAGCATCATGTGCAGCCTCAGCCGCGGCAGCAGCCTGGAGGTTTGGGTGTCCCTCAACAAGAATCCAAGCGACTGTCTGTTGGCTTCCGTCCTCTTCCTCCTGCTGATGATCTGGACTCTGAGGACCCCGAGTACCGTGCTAATCGTATCCGATCTTTCTACAAGGAGTACTTTGATGACTCAAAGGAAACGGCTCCTCCTGTTCCTGGTGTTCCAGCTCAGCACTCTGGCCCAAGCGCTCAGTACTATGAGGACTATGATGGACGCTATCTCGGTGAAACCGCCTTTTTCGATCCCGATTCAAACGCATTCGTAATGCCATATGCCCAACCAGTCCACCGTCGTGCCATGACACCACCGCCTGCTGGACGTAGAGGACCCCCCGGCCCTGGCCCTCGCGGAGGACCTCGGTCGGCATCTCGAGGACCAGGACCTCGACCTCATGGACCACACGGATCTCTTGGTGGAATGAGCCTTCCTGGTGGACCACGATCTCAGTCAGCATGGGGCCTTAGACCTGGATCTTCTGCCTCACGACAGGGGAGGAACCTGCCACCACCTGCCGCTCTGAAGACGCTCCCTACCCCCTCCAAACTCACTGACGACTCGTTCGCCCTGATGAATGCCACTGACTTCGCCCCTCCTGACGCTTTCAGTGAGAGAGCTCGTGGACGATCACAGAGCCCTCTGGGTGAACGACGCCCTTATCAGCCCAAGGTTCCTGCCGTCTCCCCTCTTGTCAACTCTTATGATGAGCTTAATGCTCTCCCTAGCCCGTAAGTTTACACTTTGTTCTATATGTGTTGTCAGTATCATCTAACATGTATGTAGGCATCTCCTCCGCAAGTCATCTACCTTCACAGGTCTTGATTTCTTACCACCCAAGAAATTCAAGGATGGGGATTCGATGAGTGATGCTGGAAGTATTCGAAGCAACCGGAGTGGTCTCTCTGCGCAAGCAGCGCATGCCATCCGCTCCGGGGCTGGTCGTATCAGTCGACTACCGGGTGACCAGGTCTTTACGCAGCAAGCACTCGCCTCTGAGCTGAAACCCCAGTGGGGAATGCGTCAGTAAGGTTGGGATTGTATCAGTCGCCTTCACTCTGCAGCATTCATTGGCAATTTTGCCATCATGACGTTGTTTGCTTTTCAGCATAGCGCCTGGCCCATTGAGAGGCTTCATCGGCATTGACAAGAACTTGGGTGTTTGGATTTTGTTTTCTTCCTTTCGTGGGAGTATATTTGGTCGCGATTGGCTTTAATTTTTGGGGTAAATTTGCATATAGAAGGATTGGAAATCACCCAATACGAAACATAACGAATCGCGCTCTGGGTTCTGAAATTAGATTCGAGCTTGTATATAGCGGTGTGAAATGGGAACTTGGTTGATGTTTGTTGACATCAAATATCCTGCATATCCTTCGCTCACGACCGTGGCTTAAAACTCTATTGTCTCGTATAAGACAGCCGTAGCTGAGGCTTGCATCTATTTGACCGTATCCAGTTAGCTGACCACCACACCGACTTGAGCGAGTGAAGTATGGGTGAGCGTCTGAAGAGATGGTCACTATAATTTTAGGTGTGGGCTAAGAAAAGCCTGGCTCGGCGATGACTGGCTACCAATTATTGGCTGGCTTCAAATTCAACCTGTCTGGCGGCCGCCGAGAGTCTGTTGCCATCAGGGTCTAGACGTCAAAAGCACGAACTCTAAAATGTCTACAATACCAAGTGGCTGGAATAAAACATGGCACACCAAAGCTCTTTCCGCGTGAGATACGGACCTCATTTTTTAACTAAACACAATAAGAAGAGAATAATAAAGTATTCT